ATGTATGTTACTTACCTCTGCAGTGTTAGTTAGACCATATTATGTGTAACTGATGTCTGCAATGTTTCGTAGACTGTACTATATCTGTTATATTTGTTTGTGTGTTACTTACCTCTGCAGTGTTAGTTAGACCATATTATTTCTGTTATATATATTTGTTACTAATATCTGTAGGATCTACAACTCCATGAGAATGACACCAGTGCTCTAACTCCAGAGTATCAGGATATACTTGATAATGCTGAACACTTGCAGCGCGAGTTTAAACGGCAGCCCTGTCACTTGGAAAGGTTGTACGGTAAGTTTTACATGAATGAAGATAGTGTTTGTCAAAAATTATATTTTATAATTTTTTAAATTTATAACTTTTAGAAATGTATGATGATAGGGTTAGATTAAACTGTCCATCTTGTAAAGCTGATAATGTAATGTTGCAGGACATACTAGCTAGCAAGCATAAATAGCATATTATCTTAAAAGTACTTGGGCCCATCATGTTCCAGGAGATGTCATGGTATGTGTATCAAACATATAAAAACATGAAAGACCTGAAATTCTAGACGAGTACATGTTTAATTTCCTTCGATCTGAATAAAATGTCTCTCTCTCTTACCCTGATATTGTACTGTGAATTCATATTTTTCTTTAAAATGGGCTAAACATTTTCAGGAAATTGTTCCTGAAATTTGCTATATTTTTCTTGATATTCCAATGGAATATCAAGAAATTATATTTTAATTGTAATTATAAGAATTACAATTATATTGTAATTTTGTAACATTTTAATTGAGTCATCATTTTGTTCTTTTAGGGATGATTACAGATCTTTATATAGATGTATACAAGTTCCAGGGTGTCAACGTCAAGAGTAAAGTGCCTGCCCTGCTCCAGATCTTAGACAACTACGATCTCTCTACACTAATAGACTTTTTTCAGACTAAACCATGAGGCCAACCAGCATTGTGACCAATTTCAGGCTTGCTGCACTTACAAAGTTATGTTAAAAATGCAAAATTTTTGAGAGTAAACTATGAGGCCAGCATTGTGACCACATTGTGTTCTACACTTACAAAACTAGAGTTAAAATGTGAAATTTTTCTTGAGATTTTTTTATGCTAGTCGGCAGTTATTAACTAGAACACGTTCTTTAAGTATTTATTACAGCAGTTATTAACTAGAACACGTTCTTTAAGTATTTATTACAGCAGTTATTAACTAGAACACGTTCTTTAAGTATTTATTACAGCAGTTATTAACTAGAACACGTTCTTTAAGTATTTATTACAGCAGTTATTAACTAGAACACGTTCTTTAAGTATTTATTACAGCAGTTATTAACTAGAACACGTTCTTTAAGTATTTATTACAGCAGTTGTTTACTAGAACACGTTCTTTAAGTATTTATTACAGCAGTTATTTACTAGAACGTCTTAAAGTATTTGTGTAAAAGGTTGTGTATAAAACCCTAAGTTATGGAAGTTGTAAAGAACTTCATTGTTCGTGGGGTAGGTTTCATATTACTTTAATTCCTAACAGTTTAAAATTCAAACAATTAGGGAAACCTGTCGGTAATTTCATACGTTTTAATGGGTTTTGGGCAGGCATTACTATTATTTTTTTGGACTCCTGGAAGTAAACTATATATTTCTATTACAGAGCTAATTTAAATGTCTGAATTATTTATAGCTGTTACTGTTAAGGTTTAAGCCACCTTTGTTTTTTGGTGAAGTTGCAATGATTAATAAGAGTGGTTATAGTTAAAACAGTCAGTGTTCTTGAATATTATTGTACATCCTCTTGTGTGAGTGGACTTCACACATCCAACTTACTAGTGATGTTAAAACCATAGACAGATGTTCAAGCAATTCATATGGACATTTTGGTACGTCCAAGTATTTGAATGCACGATTGATGTAATATTATAAATGATCACCTGTCTACTGTTCAACATCGTGAAACTGGAGATGTAAAAGAATATGATTTTTTCAAAATCAGGTTGTCATATGAACATTTCTAATTTCAAAACAACACCAGTTTGTTTCTTTCCAACTTTTTAATACTTTTAAAGACATAGTGGTTACTAGATCCATTTACTAGTTAAGATGGAAATACTTGTAATGACGAATGTGAGTTATATAAGGGATATTAATGTTAGTATTTTAGTGGAGATATAGTTGTATACTCTCCCTCCCAAGTACTGTCATAAGACTTACCAAAATATTACCCCTTGCATTAGAGATCGTCAGGGTTAATTTAATTTAGTAAATAGAGTTGTAAAAATCCTATGAAGGATTATTGATCAAACTTTAAGTTGGATGTCGTGTGGATTTAAAGTCCTGTTACATTGTAACCAACAAATCACTTTGTGTGTTTTTTCCGTCCATTCTGACAAAGCTGGTCATTTGACCTTTGTATAACTTCCGTTGCCATGCACTCTGTGTTGTATTATGTGATATTAATCCTACGATGTATTATTTATAGTCTCGGAGATTGGCATAGGTTCAAATCTGTAGTTCACATATTGATGTGGAGGACTTATATCAGTAAATACCTTTTTTTTTGGTCCGATTTTCTGTGTCTTGAAGATCTTATCACATGACGGTAAGGTAAAAAGTCACAATCCTGTAAAATGACAACTAAGTCCCTTATATCAGTGGCACAGAAACGTTTTTATGGTGCCCCCTCTTTAAACTTGTGTTTTATTGTGCCCTTGCACCCCATACAAAAATAGAACTAGTATTAAAATGGTACATAGCATGCAAAGTTTAATTTTACTCACTAATTTAGTACGAAGAATAGGGTTGATCTTTGGATAAAACAAGGTCCATTCTTTGTATGGTAAGGATGGGTGTGATCTTTGGATAAGATGATGTCCATTCTTTGTATGGTAAAGATGGGCTTGATCTTTCGATAAGACGAGGTCCATTCTTTGTATGGTAAGGATGGGCTTGATCTTGGGGTAAACCTCATCTTACCCCAAGATCAAGCCCATCCTTATCGTACAAAGAATGGACCTCATCCCAGTCTCCTTTCTTTCTATGTTTATGTTCCTGGCAAGGCATGTTACAGATTTCACTTATGAGTATATTTTGTCAATCAGAAGAGGAAGCTTTTTTTTGGATTGGATTATTGGATTACGGTTACGAAGTCTGGCGCCTCCAATCCGTTTTTTTTTCCGCTCTGAAGTTTTTCTCCTAAATTCGGGTCAGTTTTTCGCGACCAGGGGGTCTTAATAAAAACTTATAGTTTATATTAGTAAAAGAGTACGTATTTATTATATTCAACCACATTTCTATCTCGTATTTAACAGAGATACACAAAATTACTTTGTGTTTAACAGCTTTTTTAAGGTAATTAGAAGTTTGTCATCGAGTTGTGTAAAAAATATAAGTCGAATAAGTCCGTGGGGGGTCCCAAGGTGTCACGAATAGTCGGTAGGGAATGGTGTGTAACTATAGCAGCGTAAATATAATCTGAAACTAGAAATTTTAAGTAATTTTTGAGTAAGTTTTAAATCTACCGTAAAAAATATACCTCATCTTACCCCAAGATCAAGCTCATCCTTATCGTACAAAGAATGGACCTCATCTTACCCCAAGATCAAGCCCATCCTTATCGTACAAAGAATGGACCTCATCTTACCTGAAGATCAAGCCCATCCTTACCATACAAAGAATGGACCTCGTCTTACCCCAAGATCAAGCCCATCTTTACCATACAAAGAATGGAATCTACAAACGCCACAGGTGAAATCAGAATCTGATGAGCTTTATTACCGGACACTTTCCAACTTTTATTTATTTTTCCCATTTCGTACAACTCAATTAAATTTTCCACACATTCCCTGGCCATTTCATCTTTTGTATAGCATGCCCACCCTTCTGACAATGTGTAGTAGTTTCACCTCCTACACTGCTTATATCACAGTGGACCAGAGACAGTGCTTGGATTACAGCTAGTGACTAAGGAGTAATCCCAATATGATCTTGTTCATTCAACTCAGAAGTTGAACATCGATCAGGTGTAGATAATGGTGCCTTGGGGGATGTAAATGACAACCTCGTTTCAATATTCACTTCATTTTTTCCACACGCATTAAGCTTGGACGTTACAACAACTTCTGCTTTGGATATATATTGGACGAGAAAATGATTTTAGTAGCATTAACTTCCCCATTGAACCTTATGTGTGCTTTAACCTCCCAACCTTTGTTGCTTTGAACTTTTTCATCAAAGTTGAACCATTTAACAGATTGACATCAAGCTTATGGTCAAGCACAATAAGCATCATTGATGAATCAATCTTCATTTCTTCTTCAACTTTGTTGATCGCATCAAATTGAACTTTTCCTCTAAGCCTATGGGTCATGTACCATAATGTCATATTTTGTAGAATCGAAATGGATGCTAACATTGATATCAAGATCATCCACTAGTAATGATGCAGCCTTCACCAACATTGGTCTAACCAAAGTGTCGAAAAAATTGATACATTTGCTGCACTTAAAGCAATAGCTGTAGTTGTGAACATGATCACATCGTCCACCTAGTGCAAACGTACAGCAATGAGTCTGATCGTCAGAAGATAAACAAATGCTTGTGTGTGTGTGTGTGTGTGTGTACTCAAATGTCAGAAATAACATTATTTCTTTCCACATAATTGCTGTTGCAATCTTCTGGCTGTCCACATGGAAAGTATAACTGTGTTTAGGCAGATCTGTTCCACATTCCAAAGTAACATATGACTTTCTCAAGGATGAAAAACTTCACTTTTCCCATTCAGTGCTTTGAATGGGTATAAGCTGTTTTTGTTGGTCTGGTAGGCTACTGAATTCGTCGGTGAGCATCCTTTTGCATGTTCGAGTGAATTTTCCAAAATGCTTTGAGCAATCACAGAAATGTTTATGCACCCAACAAGTAATAGCTTGCACAAGCTTTTGAAAATGGGTTTTGTTATATATTTCTCATTAAACTGTAGCTTGTTGATAAAATACGTCTTCAATTCAAATGGATTGGTTGGATACAAAAGTTGGAATAACTTATTAGTTATTTGTGTCCATATTTGAAGAGCCCTCTGTCTTTGTCTGGCACTTTGCAATACATTAGCTTTATATCCACCTATATCCAAAGCTGTGCGATTGGTAATACCCAAGGCATTGAATATGGCAGTAACGGTTTAGGAGGCTTCAGCGTTTCCATCTTCTCCAGAATCAATATCATACACTTTGCTTTCTTCTAAACTAATTTGATTTTGACCTCTTATGACACTTGTCCTTCTCATTTCTCTTCTTTCAGCATCATTTCTTCACTTCCAATTAATATGATTTGCTTTATTCGAGCATCAATCCAAAGGTAAGCAGCATCTACAAACGCCACAGGTGAAACAGTCCCCTTTCTTTCTATGTTCATGTTCCTGGCATAAGCAGCATCTACAAACGCCACAGGTGAAACACTCCCCTTTCTTTCTATGTTCATGTTCCTGGCATAAGCAGCATGTACAAACGCCACAGGTGAACCAGTCTCCTTTCTTTCTATGTTCATGTTCCTGGCATAAGCAGCAAATTCAATCATTCTAGAAAATTGGCGAGATAGATTTCCAAGATACAGGCATTATTTTCTTTAATTTCAGCTAAAATGAGGGTATTGATTGATAGTGATAGTACGTTTCCTAAAGACGTTCATATTTGCTGTATCTTCTGCCTCACTTGTTGATTTAGATATGTAAACAGGTTAACTTAGTCCTCACTTATTGATTTAGATATGTAAACAGATTAACTTA